TTGTCAGTCTTGCTAGGCAAATTTATTGATTTTTCAAAGAACTAGTTTTTTGTTTCACTGATTATCTCTATTATTTTTCTATCTTCATTTTCATTTCTGCTCTTATCTTTATTATTGCCTTTCTTCCGCTTGACTTGGGTTTATTTTGTTCTTTTTCTAGCTTCCTAAGGGGAGAACTTACATTGTTGATTTTTCTAATGTAATGTAAGTCCTATAAATATGTTGTTGTTTTTAGGTGCTGTCAAGTTGGTTCTGACAACAGAATGAAATGCTGCCTAGTCCTGTGCCATCCTCAAAATAGTTATTCTTGAGCCCATTGTTGCAGCCACTGTGTCAATCCATCTTGTTGAGGGTCTTCCTCTTTTTCACTGACCTTCTACTTTACAAAGCATGATGTACTTCTCCAGGGACCGATCCCTCCTGATAACATGTCCAAAGTATGTGAAATGAAGTCTCACCATCCTCACTTCTAAGGAGCATTCTGGCTGTACTTCTTCCAAGACAGACTTGTTCGTTCTTCTAGCAGTCCATGGTGTATTCAACATTCTTCACCAACACCATAATTCAAATGCATTAATTCTTCGGTCTTCCTTATTCTTTGTCCAGCTTTCACATGCATATGAAGCGATTGAAAAAATCATGACTTGGGTCAGGCACACCTTAGTCCTTAAAGTGACATCTTTGCTTTTTAACATTTTAAAGTGGTCTTTTGCAGATTTGCCTAATGCATTGCATCATCTGATTTCTTGACTCCTGCTCCCATGGGTGTTGATTATGGATCCAAGTAAAATGAAATCCTTGACAACTTCCATGTTTTCTCTGTTTATTTTGAGGTTGCTTATTGGTCCAGTTGTGAGGATTTTTGTTTTCTTTATATTGAGGCATAATCCATACTGAAGGCTGTGGTCTTTGATCTTCATCAGTAAGTGCTTCAAGTCCTCTTCACTTTGAGCAAGGTTGTGTCATCTGCATAACACAGCTTGTTAATGAGTCTTCCTCCAATCGTGATGCCATGTTCTTCTTCATATAGTTCAGCTTCTCAGATTATTTGCTCATCATAGATTGAATAAGTATGGTGAAATGATACAACCCTGATGCACATCTTTCCTGACTTTAAACCATGCAGTATCCCCTTGTTTTGTTGGAGAAACTGTCTCTGGATCTATGTACAGGTTCCTCATGAGCACAATTAAGTGTTCTGGAATTCCCATTCTTCACAATGTTATCAGTAATTTATTACGATCCACATAGTCAATAAAACACAGGTAAACACGATGCTGGAAGCTATTCCACTGGTATTCAAATACCAGCAGGGTCACCTATGGTGGACAGGTTTCGGCTGAGCTTTCAGACTAAGACAAACTAGGAAGAAGGACCCAATGGTCTACTTCTGAAAAAAATTATCCAGTGAAAACTTATGAATAGCAGCAGAACATTGTCTGATATAGTGCCAGAAGATGGGCCCCTCAGGTTGGAAGGCACTCAAAAGATGACTGGGAAAGAGCTGCCTCCTCAAAGTAGAGTTGACCTCAATGACATGGATGGAGTCAAGCTTTTGGGACTTTCATTTGCTGATGTGGCACGACTCAAAATGAGAAGAAACAGCTGCAAACATCCATTAATAATCAGAACATGAAATGTACAAAGTATGAATTTAGGAAAATTGGAAGTCATCAAAAATGAAGTGGATAGCATAAACATTGATATTCTAGGCATTAGTGAGCTGAAATGGACTGGTATTGGCCATTCTGAATTGGACAATCATATGGTCTACTATGCCAGAAATGACAACTTGGGAGAGGAATGGCATTGCGTTTTTCATCAAAAAGAACATCTCCAGATCTATCCTGAAGTACAACGCTGTCAGTGACAGGATAATATCCATAGGCCTACAAGGAAGACCAATTAATACGATTCTTATTCAAATTTGCACACCAACCACTAAGCCAAAGGTGAAGAAATTGAAGATTTTAACCAACTTCTGCAGTCTGAAGTTGATCGAACATGCAATCAGGATGCATTGATAATTACTGGTGATTGGAATGTGAAAGTTGGAAACAAAGGATTAGTAGTTGGAAAATATGATTGGATGGGACTGCAAATAAGATAATTATGACCCACCAAGGGGATTGCTCAGTTTGGCCAACCTGCTGAGCTTGAAGGGGAGCCAAGTCCAGAGCAGGGGGAGGATCACACCACAACCAAGGAAGGAGAGCCAAGAGCAGAGCATGTCCTTTATACCCGGGATCCCTGTGCTGAGAAGCTCCTAGAACCAGGAGAGACCTGTAACACTAAAGATGGTGAGAAGCGGTGCCAGAGAAACAGCAGCAGGAAACAGCACAGTGGGCTTCCTGCCCATCGAGCGAGAAATCTTAGTGCCTTAGGGCAGGAGGCTTGCTGGTGGAGTAGGGTGCCCCTGGGCACTTGGTAGAGCTAGGTTTGCTGATTCACAGAGCTACAGCTGAGCACCTTTGAGCCAAGGCTTATTGGTGGAGTGGGGTGCCTCTATACACTTATCGGCAGAGATAAAAGAGCTTTTCGACACTTGCCTGAGCAGGATAGAGGCTGAGGGTCCAGAGAGAGGTGTGCCTGGGAGCACAGCTGGGAAGAGGCTGTCCTGATGTAAGGACTGTATCCTGAGCTTCCGTGAACCTGAATTGTAACGTTACTTCACTAATAAACTCCATAATCCCGAGTATTGTCTGTGAGCTCTGTGTGGCCATTGCAATGAATTATCGAACCCAGAAATGGAGAGAGCCTTTGGAGGGACGGTTGGTGTCAGAATAGGTGAAGATGACGGAGAGAGGAGGCATGTCTGACCTCTGCCTCATAGGAATCAGCCTTGGACTGTTGATCTTGGTTCTCTTTCCCGCTTGTGAAGTCAGAGGTCAGACACTGCTCCCACGCCACAGTCACATAGGGTCAGGCTTAATTTACTCTAGCTACTCCGAAGCTGCACAAGGACAAGAGCAGATTTAAGAGCTAAGTGAAGCCCAAGAGATAAGAGGAAAAACAGCAGTTAAGTATGTCTTGTGACTAAAACATTTATACCATTTTTTTTCTCCTGTCGATGATAGAGGCAATTAAAAATTGAGTACAAACATGCAGTGCAATTCTGTATTGATTTAGTATATACCCTGCTTTTGAAAAATGAATAACATTAGGATTAAGATTCATTTAGATATTTAAGTATATAATTCCTGGTTATTCCTCCAAAATGGCTAATACACAGTGATTTGATAATTTAACTGAGTTCTTTTTTTGTACGTTATTGTTAGTAGTATGTACTGCATACAATGTTGCAGCACAATTTTTTTTTTTAATTGTAGTTTAGGTGAAAGTTTACAGAGCAATTTCTCATTTAACAGTACATAAATTGTTTTGTGACATTGATTGCTGTTATGCACTGTATCCTTTCAGAAAATGTGTCAACTTGGCTAGTCCACGATTCCCAGTATTGTGATCCTTTGTCACCTGATGTGACTTTTCTGTGTTGTAAATCCTACACCTATCGTGTTAATGAGGTGAGATTAGTGGTAGTTATGTAAATGAGGCAGGATTCCATCTACAAAATTAGGTTGTGTGTTAAAAAATCTCTTTCAAGATATATAAAAGCGCTCAGAAACACAAGGACCTCATGCCAAGAAACTAGCAGAACAGCACATCCTTTGGACCCAGGGTCCTTGCACTGAGAAACTCCTACACCACGGGAAAATTGATGACAAGGACTGTCCCCCAGAGCTGACAGAGAAAGCCTTCCCCTGGAGCAGGCACCCTGAATTTGGACTTCTAGCTCCCTGGACTGTGAGAATAAATTTCCTTGTTAAAGCTATCCACTTGTGGTGTTACAGCAGCACTAGATGACTAAGTTACCAACCCTGTGATGTGTCAACACTCTCCCCTTCCCGACCTTGGGTTCCCCATTTCCATTCGTGCAGCTTCCTGACCCCTCCTGCCTTCTTATCCTTGTCCCTGGGTTGGGTGTGCCCGTTAGTCTTGTATACATAGTTGAATGACAAGTTATTGTTTTATAGGTCTAATCTTTGTTTGAAGGGTGAACCTCAGGAGTGACTTCAATACTCAGTTAAAAGGGTGTCCAGGGATCATACTCGGGATTTCTCCAGTCTGTCAGGCCAGTAAGTCTGGTCTTTTTGTGTGAGTTTGAATTCTGTTCTACATTTTTCTCCAGGTCTGTCCAGGACCCTCTATTGTGATCCCTATCAGAGCCTGAGTTTTTTTTTTTAATGCTTTATACTGCTGACAGTATTACTGAATAACATCCTGTATCAAGTTACACTATGATGAGGGGTCAAAAAAAATTTGATAAAGGATTGGTTTAAACAAGAGAATTTTGTCCAGGGTCTAGGCCAGTTTTCTCACCCTCATTCCATTCTCTCCTTGTCTGCAAAACAAAAAAGGTGTATTTGTCAAATCAGTGGGAGGAATAAAACAGTCTGTAGGTCAAGACTGAGATCTAATTGTTGGTATTTAACTCAATGATTTGCGGATGTCTGGGAAGCTGAATGATTTTTTAAAAAATCTGACAAACTAAGTTTAATGCATATGCTCACCTCATGGAAATTTATAGGACAGGGAAACTGCATTCCAGAATCAACTTATGTAAAAGAGATAAATGCAGTATGTGCATGTATCCTTAAATTAGTGCTAAAAAATTTAATTCCACATGTTGCAAAACGTTAGAAATGTGAAGACAGAGACCACATACGGTATACCATTACATGTTACAATAAATTAAGATTTGTATTATGCTATCATTTTTAATTTTAATAATTTCATATTACATAAGGAACAAGTCCATCCACTCATCATTGATAAAATTTTAGAAATATTTTTATAAAAAGTTTAGTATTTGATTAAGAATGAATCCATTATAACATTATTTCTACAGGTACAGCTTTCCCATCCAACACCCTTATTTTGAGAAATTTTAAAAATACAGAAAAGTACAAAAAATAAGACAAGGTATCCATATACCACAATCCAGAAATAACCACTATATTTACTCTTTTTCATTTTTAAGAGAAACGGATGTTTACATATATAAAGCTGAAGCTCCCATTAGCCAATCCCCATTCCACCTCCCACACTTATTCCCTTTCCTTAGCCACTCTTCACAGACAACCATTATAAAGAGTTTGGACAGTATCCTTCCAATTTTTGAAATATTTACACATATTTATGCATTATCAATATATAAATTTTGGGAGTAAGTTTTCAAATTTACAAAAATGTCATTGCACTAAATGCATCATTCTGCAATTTAATTTTCTCCCTCAACGTGATTTTTGAGATCTTTTTCTGTTAATACACATAAATCTTGTTGCATTTTACAGATACATTATTTCACTGTAAGAATTTTCTACTTCATTCCTGATGGGCACTTAGGTTGCTTTCAATTTTTTGATAACTACAAATCATGCCGCAGTAAATATCCTGTATGTATTTCCTGAGTATAGATACTCAGAGTAGAACCGCTAGGTGTTTTTGTTATACAGAATGCCTCCCTACTCCCAAGGTCATGATTTTAATATACAGCTTTTTCATGTTCCTGTTTTTAATCCCTTTGGAATTAACTTTTGTTTATGCTCTATTCGCCCCTCCCTCCACCCCAAGAAACCTCCAAACCATGTTTTAAATAGTCTCATTACCTCCTCACTTCCTGATGCCATTTCTATCATTCCCAAATTATAATTAATGCATAGGTCTGCTTCTGGGTTTTCTTCAGTTCTGCTGCATCAATACCATAAGAGTTTTATGTTATATGTAGATAGTATCACCTCAAAACTTTCTTCCTTTCCAATACTTACAAGTTATTTTCCTTCTTACATTGGTGAGGATCTCCAGATCTATGCTGACAGCAATGATAACAGGCATCTGTTTGTTTTCAGTTTTAGTGGAAATGCTTCTGAAGTTTCAGCATTACCTTTGCTGTTTACTGTTAGGTTTCTGTTAGGCACAGTCTTTTTATATACAAATGTTCTCTTCAATATGACTTCTAAGGTGTCCAGTAGGTTTTTAGTTTTGTTAAAGTTTCCCTCATTTGTGGTGCTTTGCTTCAGAATGATTATTTCTGATGTGCTATGAGGTGTAAATTCCTGATAAAAGCTTTCTTGTTTCCAAGAGTTTTTAATGAGTATGAATTTTCTGGTGTCTAATGTGGTGTGACTTCTGGCTGAAAGCTTTCCCACATTCACTACATTGATAAGGCTTCTTACCTGTGTGTATTCTCAAATGTAGAGCAAGCGTTGAGAATTGAGAGAAAGCTTTCCCACATTCATTACAACCATAGGGTTTCTCACCTGTATGGCTTCTGACATGCACAGTAAGAGATGAGCTTTGAGAGAAGGCTTTCCCACATACATTGCATTCATAAGGTTTATCACCTGAATGAATTCTCACGTGTACAATAAGTGATGTTCGCTGAGAGAAAGCTTTTCCACATTCATTACATTCATAGGGTTTCTCTCCAGTGTGAATGTTTTGATGTTTTATGAGGTACTTCTTTTGGCCAAAAGCTGTTCCACATTCATTACATTTAAAGGGTTTCTCTCCAATATGAATTTTCTCGTGCTCAGTAAGGTTTGATTTGCCACTGAAGGTTTTCCCACACTCCTTACATACAAAAGGCTTCTCTCCTGTGTGAGTTCTCTGGTGTCTGATGAGGTTTGACTTCTGAATGAAAGCTTTCCCACAATCTTTACACTCAAAAGGTTTCTCTCCAGTGTGAATTTTCTGATGGGTAAGGAGGTTTTCCTTCTGGCTGAAGGATTTCCCACATTCATTGCATTCAAAAAGCTTTTCTCCAGTATGAGTGTTCTGATGTTTAATGACATACTGCTTTTGGCTGAAGGTTTTTCCACATTCATTACATTCAAAAGGTTTCTCTCTAGTATGAAAATGCTCATGCTCAGTGAGATTTGATTTGTGGCTGAAGACTTTCCCACAAACTTTACAGGTAAAGGGGTTCTCCCCGCTATAAATTTTCTCCTGGCTAAGGTTTGACATCTGAATGAAGCTTTCCCACATTCACAAGGTTTCTCTCCAATATGAATTTTTTGATGAATCAGGATTTGCTTTCAGCAAAAGGTTCTCCCACATTTCTTACATTTACAAAACTTCTCTCCTGTATAATCTTTCACATGAAAAGGGAAGAAAATTCGAGTAAAAACTTCTATCATATTCAGTATATAGGTTTTTTCCCACTATAAATTAACACTCAATGAACTTTTCTTACACTCAGATTTCTCTTCAGTAAGAATTTCTGTTGAATGAGATCTGTCATCTAGCTAAAGGTTCAATTTTTCTTAGAACCACAAGGTTCCTCTCCAGCGTGGCTTGTACATTTAATGAGATGAGACGTGAGTGCAAGTCTTCTCACATTCAGTAAATTCATAGAGTATTCTCCAGTATTAGTACTCTGCTATCAGATAGGCTTCAAATTTTTTTAACTGAAGGCATTTCCACACTTTAAAGGGGTTTATTACTATAAAGAGTACACTGTGCAGAAGGATTTCTAAACTAATTGATTCTTTGCTACACAGCACCCTTCATGATTAAGACAAGTCTAAATTGTGTTTCAAACTTTCTAGGTGAATTCAAACAGGAGTTGCCTTTAAAAATAAAGTCTGAGATCAAAGGAAGGATTTTTCCAATTTTCATGTAGTCATGCCTTTTTCCTCAGTCTGTACTTTATTGTAGATGGACGTAACTTGCCTCCCAAGTCTTGTCGCCTTTATCTGCTCTTCTTCTCAAGCTTCTTCTAAAATAGAGTAAGAAGAATCATCATTTAAAGGAGTTAAGATATAAAGTGCTTGAAAACATGGCTGGCACAAGGTAAAAAATAAATATTAACTTAATGGTATCACTATTTGTGAATTTTTACATTACTGTACTACCAATAAAATTTCAGATTGTGCCTTTATGGAATTAACTCTGGTAGCCATTCTTCCCCATATGAAAACATTTTCATAACCAATGTCTCCAATTACATTTTGAGAAGAAAACCATGTGAAGTATATATTGCTAGAAAAAGTTCATGGGTCCACAAAGCTTACTCTTGAAAAATAACCTTTCCATTTTAGGTAACAGCAACTGAGCATAACAATGAGGAGTTAACAAATAGGATTAAAAAAATGACCACAAAATTGAGTAAGTCCACCTGGAATGCCTAAGAAAAGCAATAATCAGCAACTGCCTCCTCCCAGAACTCCATTAAAATGACAGCAAAGGGGAAAATGATAATTAAAAAAAATTTTTTTTCACAAGAAAAATACATTAGGAGACATCAGTATATGACAGATATTAAACAAACTTTTTAATTGCACTTTAGATGAAGGTTTACAGAAGTTTCTCATTAAACAGTACATATAGTTTTATGACAATGGTTAACAACCCCACACTATGCCAACACTGTCCCCTCTCAACCTTGGGTTCCCTATTACCAGCTTTCCTGTCCCCTCCTGCCTCCTAGTCCTTGTCTCTGCCTGGACTGTTGTTCCCCATTAGTCTTATTTTATGGGGCTGTCTAATCTTTGGCTGAAGGGTGAACCTTGGGAGTGCCTTCATTACTGAGCTAAAAGGGTGTCCAGGGGCCATACACTCGGGGTTTCTCCAGTCTCTGTCAGGCCAGTAAGTCTGGTCTTTGTGAGTTAGAATTTTGTTCTACATTCTTCTTCAGCTCTGAGACCCTCTGTTGTGATCCTGGTCAGAGCAGTCAGTGGTGGTAGCCAGGCACCATCTAGTTGTACTGGACTCAATCTGCTGGAGGCTGTGGTAGTTGTGGTCTATTAGTCCTTTGGACTAATCTTTTCCTTGTATCTTGTTTTCTTCATTCTCCCTTCTCCGAAGGGGTGAGACCAGTGGACTATCTTAGATGGCTGCTCACAGGCTTTTAAGACCCCAGATGCTACTCACCAAGGCAGAATGTAGGACATTTTTTTTATGAAGAGTGTTATGCCAATCGAGCTAGATGTTCCCCGAGACCATGGTCCGCACAGCCCTCCACCCAGCAATTCAGTCCCTCACAAGAAAAAGAGAATATACTAGGAGACATCAGTAAATGACATATATTAAAATTTGTGAGAATGGAACGTATATGGAAGATTTTCAACACGGAGAACTGAGGAAATTCAAATAATGTAAAAGTGCCTGCAAAAAAGAATGCCAATGACAAGCTGAACAGTGTTGTAAAATGGAAGACTCAGGAAATGGAGGGAATCAAATACCTCAAAAGAAGGGATGAAGGATGGGGGGATGAAAAGAAAGTAAAACAGACCTCTACTCTCCCAGTCCTTTGTATGAAACGGTAAGTTTATTCTTTGCAGAAATTTAATCAGTGAACCTCAGGGACATCAAGCAAATGAGATGACAAAGGAAAAGCACTATCCTGAAACAGAATTAAATCTAAATATATCATGGGATCTTCAGCACCTTTCTGCAGCCAAGCCTGAAAAATGTTGGTAACCAAGAGTATATACCTGTGAGAAGGAAACGGGAAGAGGAGCCTTTTCTGGAGAAACTGAGAGGCACAGAAAAACCTAATTAGGATAGACCTCAAAAAATAATACTGGTCACTAGTATTCATATTTCATTGGCCAAAACGAAGGACCTATCCATACTGGAGTTGCTAGAGTAAGGCAATATACTCCTTCTGCAGGGAGGGGACCCTGGGTCCATGAGACATTTTTCTTGTCATCCTTTGAAGCCGACCAGATGACTAGAAGCACCCAGGCACACAAGAGCTTACAATCGCCTTTTAGTGAGTCATTCTTAAATATGACTGGCAGTTAATGTCCCCTACACACTTGAGAAACCCTAACATGACCGATCAAAACTGAGAGAAAAAAAAAAAAACCTCTGAGGAAATAAAGGCCAGGTACAACAAACAAAATCCTAAAACCAATGGTAGACAGTTATGAGAAGTTTATCAGTGAAACAGTAATAATGTTTTTGTAGTACAATGAGTTCCCTTGTGTGGCCTTTTGCCTTTGGCTCTTGCAAAACAAATTTAGGGGATTTCCTGAATTGTTCACTACCCTTGAAGGTGTGTTATTTTTGTCCTGTCTAGCTAGGGCCACCCCACTTTGTAATTAACAAGGTAACTGATAAAGCTCTATCTCCTGCCAAGGTAACTGTCATGATCTGTACCAGCAGGGGGGCATTTCTGATCCAAGGGCTATCCTGGCCAAAAGCTGCCCTGGTTCATGAGGGGAGGGACGTACTCTATGCTTCAAGGACCTCTCAAGATCTTACCCATGTACCTCTCCTGACACTGAACCTATGTTGCATCCTGTTACTTCTACTTGTATCCTTTTACTACCCTAATAATAAACCACGTAACTGTAAGTACAATCCATGACCATTACAGCAAATTATCAAACCAGAGAAAAGGAGTGCCGTGGGGGGAGCCACTGGTGTCAGAAATAATGGAGAAATTGTAAAGCAGGGATATACTTGACCACTGCCTCTTAAGAATCAGGTTTATGCTGATTCTTTTTATTCCCGAAGTTAACTGTTCCATTTTGTAAAAAAAAGCAGAAAGAAGTTCCTTTAGAAATTTACAATATGAGAGGGAAAAAAAGATAAACTGTATTATCCCCCAATAACAGGATTTCCTCCCTGCAGAAGGATTATACTGCCTTGTCCTAACAGACCCAGGCATGGTCAGGTACCCTGTTTTGGTCCACTCAGTACCCTGCACAATGAATGATAAAAGATCCTAGCCACATGACTGTGAAATTTCAAAACAGAAAGAAGATCATAAATGTTTTCAGAAAGAAAAAACACGTTCAAAAAAATGGGAATCAGAATGACATTAAATTTCTCAACAGAAACATAGGAAGCTGAAAGACAAAATCCTGAGGAAAAAATTCTAAACCCAGCCTATCTAATGGGAGAGTTAAAGGCATTCTTCAGGTATGCAAATCCTCAAAAATCTACCTCAAAATGAACTTTTCTCAGGATACTACTGGCAAATGTGCTCCGCCAAAATCAGTAAACACGAAAGGCAATAGGTACAGGATCCAAGAAAAGGGACACATCATACGGAAAAAGTGAAGAAAATTTCCATGATAATGGTGATGTAAAGTCCCAAGATAAGAGCTATCAGGTTAGAGAACAGCCAGATAAGATTAGAGAGTGAGGACAAAAATTCCAGGAGCAATACCTCCGGGGGAGAAAATGCAACAGATTTCCCAATGCATTTAACGAAGTAGAAACTAGTAATGAGAGGGCTTTTGTTATTCTGAGTGAAGTCCAAGGGAATCTGTGCTAAATACAGAAAACCAAACAACATTGTGATAAATATCAATTCCATGAAAAGCAAAAAAGGGATGTATAGAGATATAATTTTAGTATATACATACTTCTGCTGTATACCAAAGCACAACAGTTGTCTCAAGGAAAAGCATTTGGGCAATTATTTAAGTTGTGAGTAAAATAAGTCACTTTTTTCAAGGAGCACCATTTTTACTTGAAAGAATGAGTTACAAATACGGTTATTCAGACTTGGGTATTATTTGGCAGACACTTATTTCAAACAGTATGAAGTGAGCCTATCACTTTAAGGAAAACAACTGACAGTATATGTTGGCACTGAAAGTTTTCAAGCAAAAACTAGAATTTTGAGAAAACCTGTATACTCCACTGTGAGACTGCTGGCTTGCCAATAATTAAAACTTTTCTAATAACATTGTTGGTGATATTAATACAATTTTTTAAACATCGCATAATGAAATATTTAGAAGATCTGCATAACTCAGTGAAACAGTATTTTCCAAATAACCAATGCATGATGTTATAAAATCATGCATGGGTAAGAGATCTATTCAAAGTTTAAGACAAACAAAATGATTTTATATAACAGAGTATGAAATTTTTTTTGCAAATTCTACATTGCAGCTATCTTCAAGAAACTACCACTTGTCAAGTATTGGTATAGCATCAAAGAATATCCACAATTATCTGAAAAGACTAACATACTTCTCCCTTTTCTAACTATGTATCTGTGAAGCCGATTTTTTTTCAGATACTTCAACCAAAACATATGAGAACAACAGATATGAGAATCCAGCTGTCTATTAAGCCAGACATTAATTTGCAAAATAGTGCCATTCCTCTCACTAAATTTTTATTTGGGAAGAATTTATTAAAAAATGCTGTTTAAGTTTTCATATTATTGTTGTTTTTTAAAATAATATTTTTAAAATCTATTTTAAATTCAGTAACATCGCTATAACCCACATAAATCAAAGCTCTTTGGGGTCCTCAATTTTTTATAAAGGTGACTGCTAATGGGTATAGGTATGGAGCTTCTTCCTGGGGTAATGAAAATACTCTGGAATTAGATAGTAAAGATGGTTGCACAACTTTGTGAATACACTAAAAACCACTTGATTGTACACTTTAAAAGATGAATTTTATGGTATGCGAATTGTATCTCAATGATGTTAATTTTTAAAGAGAACAAACAAATTTGAGAACTGCTGCTCAAAATATTTCTCATTTATTCATTCAGCAAGTATACTCTGGTCTGCTTACTATGTGCCTGGCAGTGTTCTAGGCACTAGGGATAAATATTGAAAAAAAATTGACAAAATTCGCCACTTTATGGAATTTACATTCCAGTGGAGAGAGATAAGAAAGCATTTATGGTTTGTTAACAAGGGATAAGTCCTATAGAAACAAGTTAGGAGAGGGGTAAAGAGTTTCAATTTTAGATAGAAGGCAAGATTTGTGTGAAGATCTCAAGAAGTAAGAAAG